CTCCTCCTCCTCCTCCTCCTCTTCTTCTCCTTCTCCTTCTCCTCCTTCTCCTTCCTTCCTTTTTCTTTCTTCTTCTTTCTTCCTTCTTTTTCTTATTCTTCAGACAGCAACGGCAGGGTCTCTTTAGGCCATTTATATACCCCCGTTTGTATCTTGCCGTTCCTTTGAGGGGCTGAAAGGCAGCTTTCCTGGGGCTGCCGGCCTGCCAGGCATGTGCGGCAAACTGAGCCCAGCTGAGTCTGAGTGAGAGAACCATTCTGTGTGCCCCCCCTTCTCCCTCCCCTGCCCCCCTCCTCCGTCACAGCAACAGGGCTGTACCTTACGGCCAGCCTCGGGCACCCTCTCCGAAGCCATCTGCTCCCGTGGAGGAGGGGACTCTCACTTGGATGCGGGCTAACATTCAGCTAGAGCCGGCCAGGCAGGCTGCCCTGGCTGGATCCCTGCTGGGCTCTCCCTGCGCAAGGTGTCTGGCCTCCAGAAACCCGCCCCCCTCCTCCTCCTCCCTCCTTCCCCTCCGCCTGTCATCCACAGACTGCCAAACATCCAGGGAACAGAGCAGCCTCCGCCTGGATTCTCGGATGCCTTTTGATTTCAGGGGCCGGAGCGGCATCCGCAGCCTCATTGGCCGGAGGAGAGGATGCGGGCTCCCCCATTGGCCGGCCGGGCCTGGTCTCCCAGCTCCCGACCCCTCCCCGGTCCTTATATACAGGAGGCTCCTTCCCTGGTCCCACCAGAGCATTGCTCCTTGACACCGGAGGAGAGGCAGAGGCGGCGCAGCTGCGAGCGTTTCCTCCTCTGGAAGGGCCAGAGCTGGAGGCGTGGAGTGGCCAGCCGTCTGCCTCCGGCTCTCCAGTCTGTCTTGCAGAGCTTTCTCGGTGAGGAAGGGAAGGGATCCTCTACAGCCCAGGGCTCGGACGCTCAGGACACCCCCAGGCCGGGCCTTTGCGGGTGGGGACGCCTGGCCATGGCCTTCGCCATGCTGCGACCGGTGGCCGCCCACGTGCTGTACCCCGATCTCAGCCTCCTGTCCGAGGAGGAGGAGGAGGACCGCAGCGAGAGCGAGGCCTCCGACCAGTCCTACGGCTGCTGCGAGGGGCACCCCAAGGCGGCCCACCAGCCCGGCCCGGTGGTGGTGGTGAAGCAGAGGCAGGCGGCCAACGCCCGCGAGAGGGACCGGACCCAGAGCGTCAACACGGCCTTCACGGCCCTGCGCACCCTCATCCCCACCGAGCCCGTCGACCGGAAGCTCTCCAAGATCGAGACCCTCCGCCTCGCCTCCAGCTACATCTCCCACCTGGCCAACGTCCTCCTCCTGGGCGAGGGCTGCGAGGATGGGCAGCCCTGCTTCCGGGCCCTCTACGGCGCCAAGGGGGAACGGGAGGCCAAGCAACCCCGGAGCATTTGCACTTTCTGCCTCAGCAACCAGAGGAAGGGGGTAAGTCTCCGGGCCGCCCTTTTGACCGAGAGAGGGGGCCAGAGGTCACGCGTGCCTCCGTGCTGCTGCATCCTGGAATCGGTTTCGGAGGGTGGCCGTAGAACCGAGTTCGAGTCCAGCAGCACCTTTAGGACCAACCGGGTTTAAGTCTAAGCTTTCGTGGGCCTGCACGCTTCTTCAGATACATGGGAGAAGACTTTTGTGTTGGTCTGCAGTCGAATGGCGAGGCTTGAGCCTGGCAGCACTTTAGAGGCCAGCAAGGTGTTCAGGGTAGAAGCTTCCCAGAGTCAAAGCTTTGTCTGTCTGACGAGGGGGGCGTTGACTCTCAAATGCCCTTGTGGTCTCCGAGGTCCTCCAATCTAGATACCCTGTAATCTGGGAGCCCTGTTTGGTCAGTTCGGTGTAGTGGTTAGGAGCGCGGACGCTAATCTGGGGGAACTGGGTTCGATTCCCCGCTCCTTCACTGCTGGTGTGACCTTGGGTCAGTCACAAGTTCTCTCAGAGCTGTTCTCTCAAGGGCAGTCCTCGAAAGAGCTCTCTCGGCCCCACCCACCTCACAGGGTGCCTGTTGTGGGGAGGGGAAGGGAAAGGAGATTGTAAGCCGCTCTGAGACTCCGAGTGAAGGGTGGGGTATAAATCCTATCTCTTCCTCCTCCTCCACAATCTGCAGGGAGCTGTGAGCAGGGTCTTGGTGGCAAGGAAGAGGCAATTTGTGCACGCTCAGAGGCACTCATGTCTAGGATTGCCTGCTCCAGGTTTGGAAATACCTGGAAATTTCGGGATAGATCCTGAGTAGAACTGGGTTTGGGAAGCGAAGGGTTTTCAATGGGGCAGAATGCCATAGAATTCACCTTCCAATGCAGCCATTCCCACCCCCGCAAACTGATCACTACTCCCCAGAGGTTTAGTTGTGGTTCCAGGAGATCTCCAGGCCTCACCTGGAGGTTGGCAGCCCTACTCCTGTCTAATGCTCCCTCTAAGCTGTGGAGTCCTGTGAGCAAAAATTCTACTTTGTGAGCTGCAGGCATTAAAGTCATGAGCGAGCAATTTGGCAGCTGCATGAATTAATTTGCTTTGGAGCCCTCCATCCTGGGCTAAGACAAAAATGTGTGAGCCGGAGGCTAAAAAACTGTGAGCTGGATCACACTAACTCAGCTTAGAGGGAACACTGCTCCTGTCCACTGTTGCTTCCTATGTTCTGGGCCGGAGCACTGGCGTTCACAACAGCCTGAAGGCGAAGTCAGACTAAGTTTCGGGGTTTCTCATCGCTTCCTGGAAGACTGTTTGGGCAAAGAAGATCAGTGCAAGTCTCCTGGCCACTGTTTTGACCCAGAGTGTATGTCTGGTGGGGAGTTTCAGGTTCCCCAGGAGACTTTATAGGGTTATAGAGCCAGTTTGGTGTAGTGGTTGAGTGCGTGGACTCTAATCTGGGAGAACCGGGTTTGATTCCCCACTCCTCCACTCGCACCTGCTGGTGTGACCATGGGTCAGTCACAAGTTCTCTCCGAGCTGTTCTCTCAAGGGCAGTCCTCGAAAGAGCTCTCCCAGCCCCGCCTACCTCCCTCACAGGGTGTCTGTTGTGGGGAGGGGAAGGGAAAGGAGATTGTAAGCCATTCTGAGACTCCTTCGAGTAGTGGAGGGCAGTGTTCCCTCTAAGCTGTGGAGTCTTGTGAGCAAAAATTCTACTTTGTGAGCTGCTGGCATCTAAGTTGTGAGCAAGCTATTTGGCTACTGCATAATTTAGTTTGCTCTGGAACCATCCTTCATGAGTTAAGACAAAAATGTGTGAGCCAGAGGCTAAAAAACTGTGAGCTAGCTCACACTAACTCAGCTTAGAGGGAACACTGGTGGAGGGCCAGGTATAAATCCAATCTCCTCCTCCTCTTCTTCGTCTTCTTCATCATCTTCTTCTTCGTCATCGTCTTCTTCATCTTCTTCTTCTTCATCTTCTTTGTCTTCGTGTTCTTCTTCGTCTTCTTCTTCGTCTCTCCTGGAGAAAATGGAGGGTGGATTCTCTGGGGTTATACCCTGCTGAGCTTTCCCTCAACCCTGCCCTTCCCAGGGTCCACCCCTCCACCCCTCCTAAATCTCCAGGAACTTTCCAGGCATGAGTTGGCAACCCGAGTTAGCCTATACAGGAGCAAGGAAAGACGAGCCAGTCAGTACAGTTGGTGTTTATTGTGTGCGCATCCTTGGCCTTTTGATTCCTAGCTGGGTCGTTCAAAGTGCCAAGTCCCATTCTTAGGGCCATGACTGAGCCCTGGCGGGGGGGGAAGTCACAGCGTCTCTGAGGACGTCAAGAGTGCATTTCCTCTCCTACTATTTAAGCAGGGGTTCAGACATGCTCATTGGACCGGGGGAAGGGTTCCCAGGTGGGACACGTGGCTTCCGTAGGGGCTTCCAGCTGTCCTCATTTTCGAAAGAGAAACAAAATGGGTTGTAGTTCAGCTTTTCCGCCCTCCCGTGATTCAAGGGAAGTCACAGAGGTGCCCATTCTACAGGTAGGGTCAACGGAGGCTGAGATGGCGGTTTCGTGCCTAATTGGAGGATCTGCATTCTGAAGCTTGAAATAAACCCCCAAGCCCTCTGTGACTGGACTTTGCCTTTATCGACATGCGTTCATTGGAAGAGATGCAACTTCCCGTGTGCCAATTTATCTGCACGTGGTTCTCTCTATACAGTTAGGGAACTTTCTTTGTCAACGTTCCGGTTCATGCGGAGAAACCGGAGCCTATAGGCCTGCTTCGGCTGTCCGCCTACCTCCCAGTGAATGCACACGACTCACTCAGGACAGGAGGAAAAGGCTCTGGCCGGCGTCAGATGTGTGGCTACCAAATGGGGAGGGAGGAAACCTTCCGGGTATTAAACATTTGGATCTGCATGCTTGCAGATTCTGTTGTGTGGCTACCAAATGGGGAGGGAGGAAACCTTCCGGGTATTAAACGTTTGGATCTGCATGCTTGCAGATTCTGTCGCAATGCTCCCTCAAAGCTGTGGAGTCTCATGAGCAAAAGTTCCACTTTGTGAGCTACCGGCATTAAAGTTGCGAGCGAGCGGTTGAGCTGCTGCATAAATCGGTTTGCTTTGGAGCCCTCCTTCCTGAGCGGAGACAAAAATGTGTGAGCCGGAGGCTAAGAAACCGTGAGCTAGCTCACACTCACTCAGCTTAGAGGGAACACTGCTCGCAGGGGGTGTCGGTTGTGGGGAGGAGAAGGGAAAGGAGATTGTAAGCTGCTCTGAGACTCCTTCGGGTCCCATTCGAGGAACGCATATGCCCCTGCTGTAATGTAGGCATTGAAAATCTAGAAGATGTTATGTTCGACCGTGAGGCCTATAATAATCTCCGGAAATCTCTTTCATTACCCAAGTTCTTACCTCTAACCAGCAGGCAAAGAGCCCGTACTATGAAAAACCTCCTCTCAGACAGGCACTCGGACGTAACACACCAAGTGGCTAGATTTGGATGGAGTGCTTTAAGAATGAGAAAATCTATAATAACACAGCAAGCGAAATGTTAATCGTTTTATTGTTAACTGTCTACCTCCTAGGAATTTATTATGTATTTTATAATGCATTTTACTGTTCTGTTAAGCCTTTTTACCTTTATTCATAGGTGTCTTTTTACTACTAAGTTTGTAGGGTTTCAAATGTTAACTGCTGGCTTTGGCCGTAAATAAAACGTTATCCTTATGCTTCGGGTAGTGAAGGGCAGAGTATAAAATCAATTGCCCCTCCTCCTTCTCCTCCAATGGGGGCCCAAAACAGCTTACATTGTTCTTTTCTCCTCTATTTTATCCTCACAACAACCCTGTGAGGTAGGCTGGGCTGAGAGTGCAGGACTGACCCAATTGCAGACTGGGGATTTGAAGATAGTTCTCCTAGATCTTAGCCCAGATGACTTACACCACGCTGGCTCTCTTTCCCGTCGATGGCCTCCACAAATCACAAGAGAATGATTCCCCTTAATACAGTAGATGCAATTTCCCAAATACCATTGTTTGAATCACATTTGTCTGTATTCTGTCGTAACTCCCACCTTCCTTTGAATGTGGACGTTTTTATTCACATGACAGACAAGCAGGGGTCATTTCCTGCGGAAGCGCACAGGAGCGGAGCTCCGGCAGTAAGGAGCCCAGGGGGTGGGCACATGCAACAAGCCCCACCTCTTGCTCCCAGCAGCCCTCAGTTGGGCCACGAGGAGCAAGAAGCAGCTTGGTAAGTTGTAGAGCCCCTCCCCGGCCCGCCTTCAGGCACAAGCTCTCCCTCCTCTGTGAGGGTAGATCTGCGCGTTCCCCTCCCTCACATAGCTAGCAATCCAAAACAGTCCAGTGGCACCTTTAAGACCAAGTTTTATTCAGGTACAAGCTCTCCCTCCTCTGCCAGGACAGATCTGCACATTCCCCCCCCCCAATAGCTAGCAATCCAAAACAGTCCAGTGGAGCCTGAGCGGTGGGTGTTGCCTTCTGACACACTTCCGGTGATGTCAGGGGGTGTGGCATATGCAAATGAGCTATGCGAATGAGTTATGCTAATGAGCTCCTGCACCTCTTTTTCTACAAAACGACCCCTGCACACAAGTAGAGAGATACAATGGGATGCCAACCTCCAGGTTGGACCTGGTGATCCCCTGAAGTTACAGCTGATCTCCAGAATCCAGAGAGAATGGGTGCTCTGGAGGGTGGACTCTGTCGCATCGTACCCCACTGAGGTCCCTGTTCTCCCCAGGCTCCACCCCCAAATCTCCAGAAGTTTGCCAATCTGGCTCTGGCAGCCTGACCCCGCCCCCCATCCCTGGCTAGAGGCCTGGGGTAACCGGGCTAGAGGCCAGGGGTAACCGGGCAACCCTAAGAGACAGCGTGGTCTAGTGGCTAGACTGTTGGACTAGGATCTGGAAGACCTGAGTTCGAGCCCCTGTAGAAGCTTGCTGGGTGACCTCAGGCAAGTCACATGCCTTTAGCCTGACCTGCCTCGCAGGGTTGTTGTACGGAGAAGAGGCCAAT